AACCTGTGAACCCAATGCGCGCGAAACGTTTATTTACTTGCAATTATTACGTAACAAACACCCTACGTATATTTCATTTCATTTCATTTATTTACCTTGAGGACCCGTACGTGTCCGGATATTACAGAAGTAAAAATCACGCAAAAAAAGGGAAAAACATGGTTGAAATGTTAAATGGCAATAACAAGTGAACGAATCATTATACACATTTATAAATATTTCATTTGATCCAAGAAAACATTGAGAAGTTCACAAAACTTGGAGGTTTTGTGAGGTCGTTGGGTAGTAAATTCCAATCGTCAATGGCAAGAGGTAGCATGGAATTTGCGACAAAAAAAAAGTCCCTACTTCCACCGTGTTTGTTGGTGTGTATTTACCGCGTTGATCGATACAGTTTTCACCCCTGTAGTTCGTGTAGTTTGTTACTGACAACAGTTCCACTCAGGAAACAGCTCGTTATTCGTGCGCCTTGTTGGCCAGCCAGGTCGGACGGCGGGCTCAAACAGGTTGTCTGTCGATGACACCGACACGTGTCGCTCGTTAAGGTCGGTCGACGTCGGCTCTAAATGTTTGTCGCGCCTTAACAAAAAAAAAAAAAAAAAACTGTTTTTTTTTTGCAATGGCGCGTTTTTGCTTTTTTTTTTTTTTTGCCGTTGACAGTGCTGCCTTTTTTTTTTTTTTTTTCGCAACTGCGCATTCTCGCACCTGTGCCTTTGGCAGTGCTGCACGACGCATCAGAAAGGTATTCCCACCTGTCACATAAGGGGTCTGGTTGCAGGCTTGATCTTATCAAAAGGAAGGGCATCCGAATGACTAACATAGAAGAGCCGTATATGTTAGTGCATTTGTGGCAAATAAGTAGTTCTCATTGTGTCACTTATGCGCGTTATTGTAGTCGAGGCTTATCGTTTACGCGCTAAAGAGACGTGCGCGCGAAAAAGTGACGTTGAAGTCCTTTGTCTTTTCTGTGGAATCTGGAATGTCACTGTCGCACCACGGCATACCAACCTCGCTGAAATTTGGAAATAGCAATGTGTTGCGCGAGTTGAGTCGAAGTAGTCGATAGAAATTGGCAAACAGTTCTGATATCTTCCGTACTTTTGGTCGTGGAGATGAGGTCGTTTGTTCACACGCTTTCCAAATCTGCGCACCCGTCCACACCATTCGTGCTCGCACGCACCACGCATAGGACATAGCGGGCTTTGCTTGCAACCTATTGGGGATCGGTGGCCACGAGTGCTAGCGCACACCAGCTCGGAGCACGTGGAGCAAAAGCTCGCCCTGCAGAACCCAGCGATCCTGGGCTTAATCCCCACCCCTGCCCGTTTCGGTCTGGGTGGGCATCGTACCGGCGTGCGGTCGTGTATCACTACTACGTGATGCAAGTTAAACGCCCTAGGCTAGCGGTTGTACCGCACTGGCTGAATTGCTCATCTACAGCTGAGAGAGAAGTCGCCCTTTGAGGCAGACTAACTTCGGGCTGTATAAACATACACCAATTTTGTTTGCAACCTGTCAGTGATGAGTTACCTGTCAGGGGGCCCGCGGTAGCCGTGTGTGTCAACGCACCGCAGCTCGGAGAGCGAAAGCTGGCACTGCAGAACCCAGGGATATCCTGCATGCTGCAATCCCCACCCCTGCCCGTTTCAATCTGAATGAGCGTATCACCGGCGCGCGGTCGTGTATTACTGCTGCTTGATGCACATTGAAGACCCCATGGCTGGCGGTTGTACTGCACTGGCTAAATTTGTCATCTGTACGGCTGAGACACCAGACGCCCATTGAGGCTCAGCTTCCGGCAGTTTCAATATACATACAACACAATCACCTTTTTTTCACCTGTCAGTGATGGGTTATCGTGATCATCTTATTTGCGGGAGCTCTTGCTACGCAGCGTTTTGGGAACCATAGGCAGGAAGGAGCACGTGGTCCGTAGAAAAGTATAGGGGGCATTCACTGGACGCCATGTTTGAGGGCGATGTTTAGGGCGCATGCTCAGAACGAGCTTACATTAATAGCCTGCTAAGACCGGCAATCTTGATGGTGCGGAATGCGCGTTGCAAAAGAACTGTGGAAGCTCGCCGTCAGCACGCACTCAGCAACCACGCACACAGATATGGCCGCCAGTGAATACTTCCTATTTCCTTGTCCGAGGGTTGGTGCGAACGAGGCATTTTCTCGCACCTGTGCTTTTGCTGCACTCGCCTTATGAGATCAAAGCACGGGCTCGCTCCAGCAAACCATTTTTTTTTTCTAAATTATTATGGAGAGTGAAATTGAGTCTGTACGCGTTTCATGTAGCCGTTGAAATGCGCTGTCGCGGGGAAAGTGAGAAGTTGGACGTTGGGTGTCGATTTTCTTTTTGAGCCCCACGTCTCGCTCTCATCGGTGATTCAGGCTGGACCCTGTAGAGCCGGGGAAACGAAACACATGTAATCTAGGAACAAAGGCGGCTGTATGAAAAATGAGCGTCGTTACATTAACCTGCGTCCTTTGCTTCTTTTCCTACCTTTCTCCCAACCTTACCGCTTCTTATTTCTTCCTTCCATGCGATGTGACTTGATTTCACATTTTTGCCGTGAGAGGTTTAGGAGACTGCGCGACTCACTACAGCGCGAACATGATTGCCGCGCTGCTGAGCATTTTACTAGTTGGGGGACCTTGGTCGGCGCGCCGTATGAGCACACGTTCTGCAGCAATAGTACTTTTGATTACATCATTTCAAAATATTTCTCTCTCTGACCAAAAAAAGGCAGCAACAAAAAATTATCATGGGAAGAATACAACTCTTTTGGTTTTGCTGGCTAACTCTTTTGTACTCTGCACATCTGTTTTAGAAGGATGAATATACCGCAGCGACACTTAAAATAAAAAAAAAAGGTTTGCGAATAGCCTCGTTTTATTTTTACCCGTATTTTTTACGTCTTATATTCCTTCACATGTGCTCCACAGGGAGCTATTTCTCGGGGGAAACGAATCGTCTGTGTAGTTTAACGACACCGTTGTTGGGCTGGTTCGTGCATGATGCTCAGCAAACTCGTAAGCGCACAAAGAGACGAACACCAAGGAGGGACACGGACAACAGCTTGTCCGTGTTCACTTCTTCGTGTCCGTCTCTGTGTTCACTTGCAAGTTTCCCAGGAATCGTACAAGGGTTGGGGTTTTCATCCAGGTTATGTTGAACGGACAGTGATCGTTTTACTTTTCTTCTCTTTGTTTCCTTTGAAATTTTGACATTTTTGTTGCTTATTTTAATGCTAGATTTAAAAAAAAAAATGTATGTGAAGTAAACTTGTTTGCTTTGTTTAGTATAGCCTACATATAAAAACCGACGGAGATGATGAAAATTATGTTACAGTACTGGCTCTAGCTAAGTGCCAACATGTCCGTTGGTTTTTGTTTAGGTATTAACTAAAGAAAACGAGTTTGAGCTTATTCGTGTTTTCACGAGGTAAAGTTTACATTAAAAGGATGTCTGGGTTGAATTTTCTCTCGCGTAATTCACACCGATTATTTTTTAGCAAACGACTCATTGTTTGCTACGAGGAAGAGTATTTCAGAGCCAGTGCAAACGACTCCGGAGGTGTGCGCCTTTAAAGCAAAGTGAAAAAGAAAAAAATATCACGAGTTTCCTTGTAAATATTAAAAACAAATCAAATTTATTTAAGTTTAAATTTTTATTTGAATCATGTTTAAATCGTTTTTTTTCTAGATATATTGTATCTTGCATTATTTTACTATACGACATATTCATTGTCAGTCATTTCAATAAATTTGATTAGGCCTCTAAAAAATAGTCGTCGAAAAGTAGTTAATTCTAAATTTAATTATGCCTTCAAGAACTCACTGAAACAGTCTTGGTGATGGCTATAATTGCCACTTTACGTTTCCAAGTAGGACAAGCTTAATTGTGTTTTAAGCGTGAGTGAATATGCTTTAATTGTCCTAGTGCGTATGAAGTTAAAAGGAGATAAATATTGTAATCTTCTGAAAAGAGTTTTCATCCCATCTAACTCTAAGGATGACCGATGCCACACATTCCCACAAATCAGCCTACTTTCGTCCTGAAGCGCTGCCTTCCAGTGGAGTCAAAGAAAACACTCAGACGTTGATCACTTGTTTTTCTTTTTTCTTTTTTTATTATTGTTGATGTTTTTTGTTTCTTTTGTACGTAATGATTCTGCGATGTAAGTCAGAAATAAATGTTTTCATTGAAAGTACCGAGCTCCAAATCGCAATAAAAAATTGCTTTCGAGCTTATTTGTTTTGGAAAAGGTCGGTTTTAAATTCATTTGGAAAATCCGCGTGATTTAAATTGGCGCCACGACAGAAATGCAGACTACAACAGCACGCTACAAAACAGCACGGTTAAAATAGTACATACGACGCCGTACAATAGTACGGCCTCTTTTTTTTTTCTTTTTTTTTTTTTTCTACGTTGTTGTTAACGTCACATCACTCATATGATTGCTGTTTCGTCGTGTGCTGTGTTGACTTTGCTGTGTTGTTTTGGTATATACGTGCGCTTCTGTCGCTTGACGTTCTGACTGTGCTGTCTTGACGCGTATTGTTTCGATCGTGTTGTTTGTTCTGTCGCGTTCTCATTTAAATGGTGGTTTAAATCGTCATTTAAATTCTGAAGGTGACATGATCTGTCTCACGTTCACGCGAGACAGCTGATGAAGCACTCCTCGCTGCACAACCTGTAATAAAGTGGAGATTTGGGCCAGTTGGTTCATTGCAAACAAAAGCGCCGAAAAAATGCAGGGACACAGTCGAAGGGAAACAAGACAAGGTGCACTCTCAACTGAAGTATATTGAAAATTCGCACGTTATATAGCCACAAAAACCCTGTTTACCCTATCTGCTCAGTCCGCGTTTCAAAAATTCAAACTCATTTGTAGATAAAGATAGGGACGTGTCACTTATACATTTCTTCTCCATGGTCCTTATTTCAAATGTAACCCGCCTGCTTCGGGCGCTTCTCCCGTCTGGCGCAGTGTACAAGCCCACGACGACTCCGCTGGAACGGAACGGACATGCGGCCAACGGCGCCATCCCGGACGACGACGACGATGACCCCCGGAACCACGGGGCGAACGTGGCGGTCATGGGCGAGGGCACGGTGCAGCTCAAGCGACGCGTGGGGCTACTCAGCGGCGTGGCCCTCATCGTGGGCACCATGATCGGTACAGGCGATGCCGGCCAACCCCGTCCGTCCACTTCGTGGCAAAGAGCGAAACGTCGGAGCAGAGCACTCCGACGTTACGTTGTCACGTGCCTCGCTCCGGCGCGCTGATTGGCTCACTGGGGCCGTAGCCTTCGCCGTCTGACACCCGTGAAACGGAGTGTGGAACGCTCTGAACGCTCCACCGGTCGCGGGCTCGCGGGTCAGGAAGAGGGGGTGCGTTGGCGCAACGTTGGCGGTATTCACTCGAGGGACAAAACTCCGGACGTGACGTCAGCCGGCGAGGCTAGCCTCACCGTCTCCGACGCGGAGCAACAGCTTGGAGCCAGCGTCGCGGAGTCGAGGAGCGTTTTGTACGTTTGGACTGTATTTGTCTACGGTATTTGTACCGTCTGGGCATACCATCCGCACCTCCGTCTCGGAGCTCGACGTCACTGCGCCGTCTCAGAAATACGTGTCGTCAGCATCACGTGACGCGCACTCCGCGGGGCGAAGTGGCGGATTTCTCCCTCGTGTGAATACTATATCTCTGTTTCACCTTGTGTTGTACCGCAAAAAAGGCTACAAGCGCGAGCTCCTTGCTCCAGGGCACATCTCGGCGGCACAAGCTCTCGTGCACCAAGGGCAGCTGCCAACGCTATGAGCTCGCGCTTCTAGCCTTCGCTGCGGTACAGCATAAGGTGAAACACCCCGTTATGTACGAGGAACAATGAAGCGTCGAAACGGAGGACTGCGCTTTCTTTGTGGAGCCGTTGAAGTTTGTGCTAACGAGAGTGCGCTGTTTGAATCTCTAGCTTGCCACTCGTGTTTAGCGCCAAAGTTCTCTGCAGGGTTGTTGGAGGCACGGGCACGACGCGTCGCTTTTGGAGGACTCCCAACTGTCTAAAATTATACCTATAACAAAGTTGACTTTCCTCGCGCGAATCTTCGTACAAACAGAGCATCCTGCAGAGCACCGCAGTCGCGCTCGGCTCTGCACATTACGCAAACGAGAGAGCCCAGTCGCGTAAAAATATTTGTTTGCCTGAGCACTCGCGCAGCGAAAGCACTTCTTTTTTTAGTCACGAGCTTGCACCCATTTATGTGAAGATCCTTGGCCCTGTGCCATCCTCAGCGTTCGAGCACAAGGCGCGCGCAGCGCGCGCGCGCACGGTTTCAGAAGTTGCAAAATTGCGCATGGTGCGCTGCGGATTTGTAAACATTAGAACTGTACTGTCTATATACGTATACATCGTTCCAGAAAAGGGTATCTGGCATCTAATACTGTAGAACTTTAGGTGTTAGTGCGTGTGTCGCGCGTTATCCTCGCTTGCGCCGAAGTGGCAGGTTCGAGCAGCTGAACTGTTACTCTTTTGTCAACATTGGATTCCACTGTCGGCAAATCTATCGCCCAGCAGGCTATCTGAGCACATCAGCACGCGCGTATTTGCCGCTTTGTAAACCGGGAAAAGCGCATCTCAGAACACACGGGCGCACTCATTAAAGAGGTCACGAAACGATATCGGGTTGGAATGTTCATGACTTCACAGGGGCGTACTGGTCTTAGTCTGGCCCAAGTATACTCGCACAGACCGCCAATGATTCAGAAGCTTCTTTGTCGCGGGGAAATTGGGAAACTAAAAGGGGTCTAGTTCTTTTAGTCTTGCCTTCGCAAAGCTTGACGCAATTGTGGGATCGAAACCACCCGGCTAATGACTCTCGAGCGAGGCTCGTGGTTTGGACCCGAGAACTGCGTGAGCACTGGACTTCGGCTCGTAACGATCAATGCCTCGGCGGACAGTCGGGTATAGTGGCTCGTGTCCAACCGAACTCTAGCAATGCCTGGAGCTCAGAACGCGTTTTCTACTTTGCCGACCCCAGCGCGTGGCTATGATTAACGTTGGAGGCATAGGATAGGTACCAGTCCATGTGGCCGCTTGTTCTGGTTCCGAGTTGAGGGGGTGAACGATGCTCAAATTTCTTAATTTTTATGGCGACTGCCATTACATAGAAAGAAGAGCTAAGGCAAGTTTATTCAGTTATTAACGTTAGGCAGTGATTCTAAGGAGTATTTGGAGAAAGTACAAGAATCGCTCCATGGCAGCAGCCCGAAGCTTAGCATTCTAATCACCGACAGGATGAGAGGAGGAGGGGCTCTCTGCCACACGGCGGGACCAAGCGGAACCAAGGGACCGGGACAACGTCGACTGCTACATTTGGTGAGCGCCGCGCCGCTGACCAATCGCAGCAGACGGCGTTGTTCCAGTCCCTTAAAGGGCCCTTGAAAATAAAAAATAAAATAAAAAGTTTTTTTTTTCTTCTTATAACAGTGTGGGTGAAACCAGCGTGCCAAAAAAAAAAATTAACTTACACACAAAAAAAAAAGGAAGCTTTAGAGCAATATTGATGGCGCAAGACGTGATTTATTCGATAGTCACCTCTTTTCCACTTGTTTTGTCTCTCGGCATTTCGGGCCCGTGGAGGAGAGGTGGATCGGCTCGCCTTCACGTTGAGGTGGAAGGAGCAAATTTCCATTTCGTTCAGCGAATGACCATGCCATGACGTCATGAACTTTGCGCGCAAAGTTCCCATGCTCTCTCGCTGTCAATATTGGTCTAAAAATTTTTTTTCGCGTAAAATTTATTTTTTGACACGCGTGTCCTAACCAGACTTAAAGAAAACATTTTTTTTTTTTTAGGTTTTTAAGTTTTTTTACACACTTGCAACCGAGTAGGGCCGGCTGAGACAGGACCTGCTCCGCAGCAGCGCATTTGGTCCTGCGCCGTCGCAAGAGGCTTAAAAAGCGGTCTCGTCTCGCTCGGTCGTACTCGGTTGCAAGTGTGTGAATGGGTCGTAGTACCGCCGTGCAGCTGCGTAGCAACGGGGGGTGGGGGGCCCCGGTGTCCGGGTACCAGGCGCCCCAGTCACGTGGGGGGGGGGGGGGGGGGGGGGGGCACCTCTGCAAGCCGCCCCCCCCCCCCCCTTTACTGGCATGGTTGCGATCTCGGGGATTGGGGAGGGAATTGGGGGGGGGGGGGGGGTGGAGCTGAGGTTACAAAAGACACAGGGGCCCCGGGTGCAGGATGGCCCAGCTACGCGACTGCCGTCGTGTAACATAGGGCCCCAGGAGGTCTCTTTGGGACGGCCGAAAGAGGCGCCCCGCACGACAAAGGGCAACGAGCACACGTTGCCTTTTGTCCTGCTTTGGCTGCACGTGCACAAGCTCTTCGGACGTCCAAGTGTGGTCGAATGTAGGAAACTCGTGCTGGGGGCGGGACCACTCAAACTCCTCCCTGCCGTTGTCATCCTCTCAGTGACTACAGAGAACGGTCCATTCACTGGGTTCGGCGTGACCCGATAACGCGAGGGCTTCTCGGAGAGTTCCGGTAGTCTGTTTATGCGCTCCTCCACGACGCGCAGTAATTGGGAAAGACGGCGTTTCTTCGTGGAACTATAGCAATTTTAAGAACCTTCGTGCTCTGGGAGCACGTCGGAAAAAAATTAGCGCTAAACAGGCAAACACACGAAGAAAACGTAGTGGCCCGCCGATAGTGGGAGGTAACGAGCTTGTTTACAAACAGGCGCCAGTGAATACACGATTGAGCAGTAAGCCCAGTGAAGGGCAGGGCCTCCACATGCCCGGCCTCCAGCACGCGCTCGTTGCCTTCCATTGTGCTCCGACTGCGCGTGCACGCTCGAGGCGTGCGCGCTGGAGGCGGAACTACCGAAAGACCTCCCTACCGTTCTCATCCTGTGAGTGACTTTTAATTTGAGCTCCTCCGAGGCTGACCCGAGGAAGCACGAAACGCGTTGTGTTGCTTTCTCCGCTTGCGGGCGAGCTCTTCACGACTCCGTCTTGCAGGTTCCGGTATCTTCGTGTCTCCCAAGGGCGTCCTGGAGCGGTCGGGCTCCGTCGGGCTCAGCCTCATCGTGTGGGCGGGCTGCGGTGTGCTCTCGCTCTTCGGTAAGTCGCCGGAACACCTCGCGAAGATCAGTTGCAACGAGGCCACTTGCCGAGGCCGCCCGATACGCCGGCGGTGCACGCCTGCGCGCTGCACGATGCAGACGCCCGCACCTTGTGCAGCTGTCGGTGTCTTGCGTCTCACTTCGTTACTGCCTAGACGGACGTGCGGCAGCGCTTTGTGTTCCTATTTTCTCTCTTTGAGCATATCACCTGATGATGTCCCGGCCGTCGAGAGGCTATGTGCCCAGCGGTCAGTAGAGAGTTTTAGTAGGTGGTTCCGATGACTCCGATAACGATACCCGATACTCCGTCGCCGCCTTTGCGCGTGTATCGTGTCGTTATCGGGGGTATACGAGATATAGGAACGGTCTACTGAACTTATCTTGTTTTTATCGTTTGTGCTGTCAGACGGTTGTACTGAAACAGTTACGGGATACTCTTTTTCATTTTCATTAAACAGCACGTACACACACTGTATTCTATCCTTGTTCGGAACCTTGCCTGGTCAAGCTGGTGATGTAAATTAGAGCGTATATGATTCGCCTTCGACCAACTTTAATTCGGCGAAATAACATCGATAATTTGGGAGCGTGAGCTCGGAGATGTTTCCATGGCGCACATAAGCAACATAAGCACACGAGGATTAGGACCGCCTGTCGAATCTCATGAGCCCGCTCAGACAGCTTCCCCTTCAAGCGACTCAAACTACTGAATGCTACTAGCTTCTCTAAATTCCTATTGTCCTCGACATTTGACCAACACCCCCACTGTAGAGTTCCTGTATAGCTACCTACGGTAGCAGAGTTGCGCATTCAGCCTCGGCGCGTGGCCGTAGCGGCGGCTTTCCCGCACGAGCTGGATGCTTTGCTCCTCACGTGACTAAATTTGGCGAATAGCGGCGCCGCGCGCACCGCCGCGCATGGAAAACAGGAGAGGAGGAAAAGGAGGCGGAAAGCAGGGAAACATACGCCGGGGCAAGAGAAACGTCGGCGGAGCGACCGTAAAGGTGGCTTTCTTGCACGCCACCGGATGCTTTGCTCCTCACGTGATGGGTCTCGGCGAATAGCGGCGTGGCGGCGCGGGGAAAACAAATGCGCAACTCTGGCTCCCGTAGGGAGCCTATTCAGGAACTCTACCCCACTGTGGTGAAGAGCGCCATCGCGCTCCGTTAACTTAACATTAGCAATAAAGGCTACGAGCGAGAGGCCAAACCCCTGCAAGGTTTTCTTTCCGTAATGTGGATGTCTTCAGCAATGATATGTACACTTAAGAATCGCCCCATGACCCGTCGTCACCAGTGGATGAACAAATCTACGTGTCTGGATTGTCCGCTGGGGGACTCGCTGATCATATAGTGGCCTCCTGGCTCTCGTAACTCATTCTAGCCGCTGCCATGTCTCTGGTCGTGCACTCAATCACGTGGGATTGCAAAGCTTGCTAAAGTTACCTTCGAGTTAATGCTGCACGGGTCGGCGCACATGGAGAATCAGTCATGGATGCTGTGCTTGCGATAGACGACTGGCAAAATTTCAAAGCTTCAGGGTAGTACATGCCAGTGTAGTCTCATGAGCTGCACGCGCTCGCTTTGTCTGGGTGGGAGATTGAAAGTAAATGACTAAAATAAGACGATGGCTAATCCGAAACTTTCAGTTTGTTCCATATTTTTGCACATAGACTATTTCGTATAAGCTTGGCTCTACGCTTGGCACCATATTGACGCCATCTCACAAGTTGCCCGAAGTGCTGTGAAGGACACGCGAGTACAAAAGTGCACCTCTGCAGTCTGTTTTTTTTCTTTTTTTGGAGGGGGGGGGGGTATTTTTTATGGGGCGAATTCACGAAACCATTTTAGAAAGACTGCGCTCGCGTTTGTGGTTCCCACAACAGTGCACGCAGTTCTTGAAATAGCGGGCCATGTGCCAATTTCTGCGTACGAAATCGCGGGCAACCAGTGCCGGTGTGCTGCGGCAGTTTTGCTCGTTCCCCTTTTTATGCCGCTTGTTTTCACTTTTGTTCCAAGATAAAAAAAATGTTGCTTTCATTAATTCAAAACATGTCAACGTCCATATCTGCCCGTTTACGCAGAATGGGTTCAAAACCCAAAATTCATTAAAAAAAAAAAAAAAAAAAACAAGTCTTAAAAAGTGCAACGTGAAAGTTAGCATTAAAACCTGATTTCGTTGTCCCACCAACTTCCCCGCTAAATTTACCGGGAAAAAACGTAACAAGCATCGAACAAATTCCACCGCACATTCTGTGCATTTCCGCTTCTATCACGTAGAGATCGAGCTCCCTCGGATTTTTTTAAAATGTATACATCTTCTTTAGCTCGAGGGCATTCGCAAGAAGTGCAGCCGTCTTGGCCGTTTCTGGAGAGAAAGAGCGAGAGAGCAAATCGCCAGCAAACATCCTCGTGCTCGGAGCGCGTCAAGATGCTAGAGGACGGACGTGATACCAAGCAGAGCTGTCGCGCGAGAACCGGAAGTCATAAAACACTAAGACGCCAGATGCATCCTACGGTCCCATAAATAAGTGACATGCCTTCCGCAAAACCTCTGGCGGTTCTGTTTCTCACGTTTGCCTTATCCCCCAAGCAGACATAAAACGCAGCTTCGTCCAGATGGCATCAGCTGCACGGATCTGCATCTCAGTCTCGATGGGAACGCGCACGTGCCGTGTATTATGTGCGTGTCTGCTGTGTGTGGCGAACGTTGCCGTGTGTTATACTTGTATGTAGCGAACACGACCAGCTGAGCTGAAACAACGGCGGATGCAACCCTCCGAGACATCGGGAGGGGAAAGCCGAGCGGCGAGCCACGGAGAAGCACGGAACGCCTGGAAGCTACAGACTGTGGGCGCGGTCACAGACCGGACAAGACGCTTCTCACAACCCCGACCGACTATATCCTAAACCGTTAAATACATATATCCTCGCATTATCCCAAATTAACCGGTGCATCTCGACACGTTTCGACAACATTTCGGAGCACGCCACTCGATGCAATGGCGATGATGCTATAGTGTATCGACCGACTGCAGGTCATTATTAATTGAGTCTGGATGTTTATTGGCGTCCACGAGGCATACTCGTCTGCGGCGTCGCTTCGAATCTATATGGACTCTTGCGGAACTACGGATGCGTCGTTCGCGCGACCCTGACCGCCCCGAGTCTTTTGTTTAAGCAGTGGCACTCAGCCAGAAACCTGACTGTAATTATACTCACGGTCACGACAACAGTACATTCAACCTCTACGAGCCCCATATGATTGCGATGTTATCTTTATACGGCCGAGGCGCTTAGAGATTACATTCGTCGGGTTTGGTTTCAGGCAGCAGTCCGTCTTTCTCCACATGCTGGGTCTCTCTCGTCGATGATCGTCTTCGTGTGTTCGGAAAGTTGCGGAGGCGTTATCCACGAAAGCGTTTAGTTGAGGGCCTTACAACGCTTCTAGCTCGTTTGAACGTCCTTATCCGCAACTTTGACGGCCTACAGGGGCGCGCTAGTTTCTACCGAAATGGCTGTTATCTGGATGATCGTCGTAGAACAGCAGCACGAGGTTAGGCCTGCGACGCGTAATCTAATTTTGTAAAATACGTGCGATATAAGAACCGTACTTTAAACTTCCACACCAGCTAGGCTATAATGCAGTGCGCACTGAAACACAGAGTCTGTGAAAAGTAGACGGCAAAATGATCGACACCCCTAACAGCCGTGCGCTTCAGGACAGTGACGTACGAAGAAAAAGATCTGGAGCAAAGCCACCTAAAAGAATACGCTCTGCTGCGAGATACCGAAAGAGATGAAAGGAAAAATGGGAGGACGTTGGAATCGTCACCTATGCCACCTACTCCGCCATAATGGGTGGGTAAAAGCATTTTGCTTCGAGCCTTGATGGCGTCGATTCCATGGAGACACATCAACCCGACACCCTTCCTACATTCATGGTGTTGGACGAAAGAACTTCACTAAGGCTACGTCGTCTAGCTCTTTAGACATCGTGTCTTTGACAAGATATTCATGTTGCTCTCAAGCACTCTGGATGCCACGGCTGAGTAAATTCAAAGCAATTGACTTTCGCCAAATACCTTTCCCTGGCTCATCTGTCTCATTTGGTACAACGGGTCGCCAAATGCACGCTCGAAACCCTTCAAGCACGGCATTGGGTTCCCCGCGCAGGCTGAAAGTGTCGCGCTCGGGGACTTGTGTGGAGCACATGGCCGTCTGACATAAGAAAGCAATAAACACGTGCTCCGTACAAACCTTGAGCATGATGCTTCCGAACACAGGCCATACTCTCGTCGATTTGTTGTTTAACCAGTCGCGTGTGCAGATATCTACGCCCCCGGCCCCGAAAATTTATTTCTATTTTTGTTTGTGCTTTAACATCCAATGTGCCGAGAAACTGAGGGGGTGGAGGAAACGAGAGGAGACGTCAGAACGAGGAGCTCTGACTGGAATGATTAGTGGGGAGACACAAAGCTATAGCTGCCATTGTCTCTACTCACTGTTCAAACGCGTTCAAACGCGAACGCGGTACGCTGGACGCCGGCGTTTAGCAGTCGAAAGCGTTCGACGAGTGCAGTGGCGACAATTGCAGCTAGCTTTATGTCTATACCCTTTCATCATTCGAACAAGAGCTCGGCGTTCTCACGTCAACACCTTAAACTATAGATTGAAAAACATTTCTTTCTACGCGTCAGTTCAAAAAAAGCCTTCTTGGCAGCTCTTGGCCGATGTTGCTTCTGTTGAATGGCGTCGCCGATTCGAGAGACGAACATCTGGGGCTTCGGCCCCAGAACTTTGCTCTGTCTTCAAATATGTACGATAATTGTCCGGGCTTATTTCACCCGATTACACGCGCAAAGATGTCGAGTGACATCAAACCGCTTTTCGCGCAATTCTGCGCACAGCCTTAGCGCACCTAAAATGATAGCTTCACTCGACTGAACCATGCATGAGGCTGTGCGCATACATATATCCCACTCTTATTACCGCTCAT